AAGAATCCGCAGCCGCAGGGAACGCCATGGCGGTCGACAAGCCAGGCGACACCGCTGTGGCCAAGTGCAGGAAGGCTCTGTCAGGCCTCCGACGCATCTACGACGACTAGAACCTTATCGTGGTAATGGCCTGCGAGGAACTGGCCAAGGCTGAGCAGCAGGAGCGAGCCCAGATGGCCCCAGAGGACATCCTCCGCTCAGCCCTCGCCAGGCAGAGCAACTGCAAGCATGAGATCGAGCGCCTGGAGGCCAAGGTGCAGGACCTCAAAGGGCAGCTCGACGACGCGACGGACCAGCTGGCCAAGGCACAGCAGCAGATCGGGGGCATGAACGCGGAGGTCGCTCAGGCCAGGCTCGCGATGGGACCGCCCCCTGCGCCAGGCATGGCGGAGGCGGCCACAGCGGTTGCCTCCCTCCAGCAGATCCTGCAGGGCGCTCGGGATTCCATCACCGCGGGCCAGGATCGCAACGTGGTGGGCGGCTCCATCCTGGACTCCCTGGCGGACCACATCAACAGGGTGGGCGTTGCTGTACCTACCCAGGGCGCCGCTTTTCGCGCCGCAGGCGGGCAGCCTGCAGGCGCCAGCGCCACATCGACAGCAGCACCACCACCCGCTGGAGTCGTGCCCGCCGCCACGGCCCCAGCAGCAGCCGCAGGCAAGGGCGTCATCAACAGCTTCCAGTACGTACCCCCCGCAGCAGAAGCGGTGGCATGGGAGAATGGATAATCGTCGTGGAAGACGTGGAGCCAAGCGCGGCACCACAGGCGCGGTCACCTTCAATGGGTCGTGCTGGGCTACGTGCCAGCAGTTTTTGCTTGAAGGTGCGGGGGGCGCGCTTGTGGTTACCTGCCAGGAACTACGCCTTGACGGTGAACGACTAGACCACGCGCGGACCTGGGCACAGCGGCATGGATGGCAGCCATTCATCAGCCCGTGCCGCAGGCTCGCATCATCGATGCCGAGTGCAGGAGTTGGGATCTTTGTCAAGTCGCACGTGGAGACTACTCTACTGAGTCCCGCAGGGGGCGTCATTGACGGGTTTGAGAGTCTACGCTCTTGGGCTGTGGCAGTACACGTACATGTAGGACCGACGGGTGGTATCATTGTGGGCTGTGCCTACTTGGAGTCGGTGGGGGCCAGCGACCACCTCACCGCGAACTACAAGAAGCTCATGCGCATCGGAGAGGCCTTGCGCTACTTCTCGGCCCCGTACATCTTCGCGGCCGACTGGAACGCTGAGCCGAGCCTCCTCGACGAGCTCGGATTCATGCAGGTGCTGCCCGCCATCGCGGTGGCGCCCCCCACTGGCACGTGCAGGGCGGCCACCACTGGCAACCTCAGCACCATCGGCTACTGGCTCACCTCGCCCGATTTCGCGAAGGTGTGCATGGCGCCTCGGGTTATGGATGAATGGGCGCCCCGACCGCACTACCCAGTACGTCTTGACCTTGCAGCACGACCTAGGGTCCATCTACAGCTTCACCATCGTGCTCCGAAGCCGTTCCCACGGCAACAGCCGCGCTTCGCGGGCGCCAGCCCGCTGCCTGGCCCACCGCTACCGAAGCCGTACATCGAGGTCGTTCAAGGGGATGCACGTCGTGGACCACCAGAAGGCGCTCAAGCTGCTCAGCAACGCTTGGATGCGCTGTACTCCACATTCACCACCTTCGTGGAGCAGGACCTCAGCCACATCTACCAGATCCAGGAAGCAGAGCGCTACTGTGGCAGGGCCGCGCGACCTACATATGTCTGGAGGCCAGTTGGAGGCCCACCACTTCGACCAGGTCGGCCCGCTGCGGGAGCGGAGGCCCGCTACATGAGGAATTTGGCGCTGGCGCTCCAGGACCTAGTCAGATCCATCACGCATCAGTCCGATCCAGCGGTTCGGTGGCAGAGGCTGGCGCGTGCTCTGCGTCCTGGCCACAGGCAGGGCATTCACTCACAGGAAGGCGCATTCTTGTATGGGGCGGCATGGCGTTTCATACATTATGCGGTCATGCAGGATTCCCACGTCTGCCGCACCTTGTTCACCGCATACGCGTCCACAGTCGAGTCTCACGCTGAGCAGTTGGAGTCCCAGGCGGCTCGGAAGCGCACGGATCAGTTTCGCAAGTGGGCCCAGGACGCCATGGTCACGGGAGCTCCCCCCCTCTTCGGCATGACGAAGCTGAAGGGCTGGGCGCACAACGAGGTGGACAGGTTCGGCGTCCGCACGGCTTTGCCGCAGGCCGTGGCCGACAGCCAGATGGATTTTTGGAACGACATCTGGAAAGGGGATGTGGTCTCACCGAAGCCAGACAAGGATATGGTCATGAAGGGCTTCGGCGACATCGCAGCCCTGCAGGGTGGCAACATCATCAACGAGCACACCACCACGCAGCTAGATGGCATGGAAGGAAACATTTCGGATATACGATGCACCATGTCGAAGGACGTTTTGCCAGTGCAGACCATCGACGAGATCAGTGCCGCCTCCAGGACCTTCGCGTGGAAGACAGGCCTGGGTGCCGATGCCATGCCACCCAGAGCATTCTCGCTACTGGCCGACGACGCGTTGGCCATGATGGTCTACATCCTCTGGGCGGCGGAGGCCTGGGGGCGATGGCCCTCGGCCATCATGGCGGTGCACGTAATGCTCCTCACGAATGCACAGGGCGGATTCCGTCCCATCGCCTTATTCCCCTCGGTCTACAGGGTCTACACCAAGGTGCGCATTGGACACATACGTAGGTGGATGGCACAGCATGACCGCACCTACTTCGCCCTGGGCACAGGGCGCTCGACCATCGATGTGTGCGCGCGCACCATGGTCTACGCGGAGGCTGCGGACACCACAGAGGGGGACGCAGTGGTCACCACGCTAGTCGATATCAGCAAGTGCTTCGACAGGGTACAGTGGATCAAGATCGTATTGGCCGCGCGGTACTACGATTTCCCAGCAACCATCCCCAAGGCGGTGCTCGCCATGTACATGGCTCCCAGAAGGATTCGATGGGGTGTGACATACTCCTATGCTGTGCGCACGATGGCGGGGGCGCTACCTGGTTGCTCGGTGGCGATGTACCTCCTACAGTTGACTGTGATGATGCCGTTTGACGTCTTCACCGCCTCCCTGCACGGGGGCATCAATTACACCCTCGACATCTACGCGGACGACAGCACGTTACAGCTCATGGCGCCCGCCTCCGAGCTGCTCGAGCAGGCGGCGAGTGTCATTGAAAGGCTGGTCAAGGTACTCCTGGCGCTTGAGCTCCCGATCGCCAGGGACAAAGCCAAGATACTGAGCTCCTCGATGTGGCGAGCTGAGCAAGTGGCACGTCGACTCCGCGATTTCGGCTTCGAGGCGGTGCGGCAGCTCACCGTCTTGGGACTGGAATGTCGCGCGGGCGCTCGTCTCACCTACTCGGCGATCCACAAGAGGGCGCGCAAGATCAAGGAGCGCTTGCCCAGGTTCCGGAAGCTCCGAGGACTGAAGCGGATTGCGAGACGAGTCGCACGGCCCGCCCTGGCGCCTGGCATGGTCTACGGCCTCCATGTTGTGGGCGCCCCCCCGTCGACGCTGGCCACGATGGCGAATGTGGTCCGCACGGGCTGGGCCAAGACTCCCACGGCGTCGTCGACTTGGCTGGCCTCGCTGCTGGAGGAGGCCCCGCACCAGATCCCCGAGAGCTTGGCCATGACGGAGCCGATCTACACGTGGGCGCAGATGGTCTATGCGCGTCGGGTGCCGCTGCACGTTCTGGAGAAGGCTTGGAACATCCAGGCGAGGAACCATGGCCACACTACCACATGGGGGCAGGTGACAGGCCCCGCTGGAGCCGTTCAACTACTTCTACGCCGGCTTGGATGGAGGGCCCACTCGGCGACTTCGTGGACCACGGGCAATGGAGTGGAGTTCGACCTGACCGACACCTCGCCGAAATGGGTACGCGCCGTGGCAAGGCGCAGCTATCGTAATATGAAGTTGGAAGACTGGTCCAATCGGAGGGAGCATGCACCTGAGCTTCCGCCAGCCCCTCGTGATCCGCGAGGATACTGGATTGAGCCGATTGCTGCTATGCTACACGCTGACGCTGGAGCTGCTCATTGGAACCTGAGTATGCGTGCGAGGGGGGCGCTTCGCTCAACTGTCATTGGTGCCCAGTGGACACAGCAGCGCCTCTACACCATGGGGTATGTGATGGACCCCAGCTGCGTCGACTGCCAGGGTTGCTGTGGCCATCTTCATCATCGACTATGGTCATGTCCCAACCTCGCCGACATGAGGATGGATGCGGTGGACCACAACATCCGACGGCGAGCTATCGCAGCCTCGCCCAATGACCTCTTTTACACGAGGGGCCTCTTGCCGCGTGCTGTTCTACCTGAGCTGCCCCCGCCAGTCGACACGGAGTCCTGGTACTATTGCATGGGGGCCAGGGCATGACGATCACGGGCGAGATCTACACTGACGGTTCGGCCAGGTGTCCGCTGCACTGGCCAGAGGCCAATCGCGCTGGCTGGGGCATCGCTGTGATGTCCAGTGAGCGCTTGCTGGGCATGGCGTGCGGCCCGCTGCCAGGTCCGCAGCAGACGGCGCAACGGGGCGAGCTGTACGCCATCATACAGGTGCTCAAGCATGGCCTGCTCCCGATGCACATCAAGACCGACTGTCTGGTCATCGTCGAAGGCTTGGAGCAAGGCAAGAGCGCCACCACGCAACCGAGAAAGGACAACGCAGACCTGTGGCGCCAGCTGTGGCACACGCTGGAGGACCAGGGTGGCCTGAACAGTGACCTCCGCATCAGCTGGGTTAAAGGTCACCAGACCTTCCTGGAGGCTGCAGAGTCGCACGACAAGATCGGCAATGACTACGCCGACATGGCTGCGAAGAAGGGCCTAGGCATCCATGCCGTGCCCGAGCACATCTACGAGCGCCACGCGGAACTCCTGGAAGAGGTGCGGCAGGTTGCGGCCTGGATCGGCAACAGCCAGGCACAGCTGGAGGCGAGGCCCGCGGACAGGGAGCCGACCCTCGGGCGCCGCGGGCGAGGGGCCCAAGGTGGGCGCCGAGGACGCAGCGCTGCCGACGGTGACGGCGCGCCCAGGCGCCATGGCGGAGCCGCCGAGGGACGGCGGCTCGAGGTGATGAGCATGAAAAAGCACACGCCAGTCCTATGCCAGCGTGGCTGGCGATGTGCTCACTGCCCCCGATCTGCTCGCTCCCTGGCGGGTCTGGATCGCCTTCGAAGAGGCCGATGCCAGATCCGACCCGGCTTGGCCCGTGGGGAGTGGGGCCCTGGGGTCGGTGCGGCCAGGAAGCGGCCGAGGGATGGGGACCAGGAGCCCACTCGGGTCTCCAGGTCCCGTGGCCTGGAGTGGTCGGCCCCTGGAGGGCCAAGTGTGCCAGCCAGGCCAGAGCCGCTGGCGGCTCAGGGGTTTGGTGAGGACGAAACCCAGAGAGTGGGAAGGTCGTCAAGTCGTCTGGAGGACGTCGAGGGGCAGATGGAGCAGGATGTTGCAGGTAGGTGTCACAGGGCTGAGCCTAGGGTCACACCCCCCCTCCTCCGCCTCCGACTGTGCCCCCCACTTCGGTTCCTCCCCGAACTCCAGGAATTCCAGAGGCTGACGATGCGTGCCGCAGGTCAGACCCCGCTTGCAGCTCCAAAGATCATGGTAGATACTTCTCTGTCAAGAGGGAGGGCGCGGATGATCAACCGCGCGTCGTCCCGCGCAAGCGTGTCCGTTTTTCTGAGGATCCTGGAGGCCCCTGCCCCCAGTCGGCCGTCGTGGGAGCGGTGAAGGCCGCGGCTGGGCGTGGCGTGAAGCGCGCGGGCAGGGGCACCCCACCGTCCCTGGCGGATGCGGATCCTCCTCTTGAGCCTCTGCCGAGGTCGGGGGAGGTCCCGCCCCGCAGCGCCAGGGCCCACGTGTTGTACATATCAGGGGATCTCGTGGGCTGCAGCAAACGTGGGGCTTTTTCGGCCCGCACGGCACGCACTCAGCTCTTCTGGACGTGTGACCCTGAGGCGGCCCTTGAGGGAAACCCTCGGAGGAAGTGGAGGAGGGACAACTTTATGAAGGGCGTCCACCCCAAGGGAGGCCGTTCACCCCCTCTCCCCATTCCCCGCAGGCTCTGAGTCACGGATGACGCAGTCCAGTGGCTAGGCCTCCTCTCCATATAGTCTGTCTTGGGGGCCGTTCTCTGAGCGGCGCCTGGTTTTCATTTGTGTTTCGAATTTTCCTGGAACTCGTTCTTGTCCTGGGTTCTCGGCATTGCCGTCTCCTGGGCGTTCCTCGTGGGACCTCTTGTCACTGCCGTGATGCATCGGCTGGGCTTACAGTGCCCTGGGGCCCACAGTCGTTCTGTGCTCGATTGCGCTCGCTCGTCTCCTCCTGATTTTATTGCCCGTCTCGTTTCGAACTCGGCGCGTCGTCCTATGGGATCGCGACTCCTCCTCCTCCTCCTCCTCCTCCTCCTCCTCCTCCTCCTCCTCCTCCTCCTCCTCCTCCTCCTCCTCCTCCTCCCCGTGCTCCGTCCCGACCCGTCTCTTGATGGTCCCGGGGCCCAGGCAAGGGCCCCAGAGACCGAAGGTTGAGAAGCAACTCCGCGCCGAGTGTGTCGAGACATTGGATGTCTGGGCTTCCTAGACATTTTTTTGTTTTTGCCGTGCTCTGGCGGGTGGCCTGGAGCCACGAGGTGCTCCTGCTCCTCCTCCTCCTCCTCTTCCTCCTCATCCTCCTCCTCCTACTCCTGCTCCTCCTCCCTCCTCCTGCCTCCTCCTCCTCCTCCTCCTCCTCCTCCTCCTCCTCCTCCTCCTCCTCCTCCTCCTCCTCCTCCTCCTCCTCCTCCTCCTCCTCCTCCTCCTCCTCCTCCTCCTCCTCCTCCTCCTCCTCCTCCTCCTCCTCCTCCTCCTCCTCCTCCTCCTCCTCCTCCTCCTAGACATTGGATGTCTGGGCGGAAGCGCCAGCGGCGGAAGGCTTCCTAGACATGATCGCGTCGTAATGAAAAAACCTGGCGGGAGGTGTTTCGCTATGTTCGGCCCTTGGGGGCCATCGCCAGGCCCCGGGACCGTCAACAAAGCGACTCGGGATCAAAACCGGTCCCGGGTAAGGGGTCGGGACTTCCGTGGACGCCGTATTTAGAAAACATTGGACGTTGGATGTCTGGGGCTTTCTCCATGGAGGTCTTCCACCACACCGGTCCATTCGTCCGATTGCCCGGCCAGAAAGCAGAACGATGGGAAGAGCTTGCCCAAGACTTCTGAGGACAAGGCGCCCCCATGCGTCGGCCGCGCCCGCGACGGAGGCGGAGGAACGGTGGCGCCGAGAGGATTTGAGAGGGCATCTCAGGGGCAGCGTTTGGGGGGATGGGCTCCGGGGGGGATGCCTCGGCCCCCAATCGCCGATGGATCGTCGACAGGGGGCCCGAGGGCCCACCCCGCCCAGGAGCCTGCGAATTTTCGCTCACTGGGGGGGGGGGCCTATCGCCGATCTATCGGCGAGGGATCGCCAGTTG